ATATATATATATATATATATATATATATATATATACAAGGAAACACAATTGACACCCAATCGTATTTGCAACTATAATAAGACCCTAGACTAAAGTCTCACTTGTGTATTCTGAAACTTTTTTCGGTATTTGTGATTCCACTCCCTCTTCTTCTTGTTGTTTCTGTTGTTGTTGTTGTTGTTGTTGTTGTTGTGGAATCGTCTCTGTTTCTTCTATTCGTCCATCGGGAACTACAGAGACAGCAACTGTATTTTCCTGTTCAGCAATAGTATTAGTAGTATTAATATTAATAGGAGGAGGAGGAGGAGGAGACCCTACTGATATCTCTGTGGTGTATTGTTGTTGTGGTTGATCATTCTTCTCCACTTGTTGGAGTTGTATAGATGCTGTTTCTCGCAGCAACTCATCGAGGCGAACTCGCACCGGCCGCAACAGAATTTCTCGTGTGGAGGCATTCGCAATAAACACACTCAACAATTTTTGTTGATCACTCCACTTTTGTTCTACTGTGTGAACGGCTATTTGAATCTCCTCCGGTTTCTTTCGAGCGATTCCCGCCAGTGGGGTGGAGACATCTGTAAAGAGCATTTGGACAATACGTTCACAACAGTGTTTAATTTCACTCTCTACATCTTTTTTGGATTCTCGAGAGGATTGTACAATTTCAAGTCGTCGTTGAGCAATTTTACTAAGATCAATACGTTTTTCCACTACTGTGATATTTTCATCAATTCGTGAAAGTTCCTCTCGAAGATGTAAGAGATGTCGTAATTGACACATGAGTCCTTTTAATACACTATATTCTCCTCGTACTTGACCCATCATTTTTGCTAATTCCTGAACTTGCATTAATGTACAGTGAATAGCCTCTTCTGCAAATACAGAAAATACAGAAAACTCCAATGAAGGATAGAGTAATCGTAGTAGCGTTACACAATTACTAAGAGCAGGTATATAAATATCTTCTTCTATGCTTTCATTAGAACAAAATCCTTGCACCATTGCCTTTGAAGGAGTACATCTTATAATAGATTGACGAAGGAAAACACTTGTACGAAAGATTAATCGTTCTTGTGCATCTTGAATCATTTTCGTAAATAAACCACTAAGTTCAGCAATAGTATCTTGTTTTGCAATTGCTCGTTGAATTTCTTCAATAGATTGTGCCAACTCTTCTAGTTCATCCACTTGCAAAAGACGAGAACGAAAAACATGATAAACCTCATCTGAGATACCTGCCACAAGTTGTGGAAATACTCTTGCCCCAAAATCTTCTCGAAGCCAAATATCATCAAATACTTCCTTTTCACGTGCAAGGGCTACTTTCATAAGAGTAGCAAGATGAGTGACTAATTGAGTCATTTGATGTTTCTTGTTACTATCATCACACCAAGCTTCTAACCAATTTTGTAGTAATGGACCAACAATAGCTACACGGGTTTCACGATAAACATCTAAGATTTCACCATCATGCATTTCATCTTCTGGTTGACCTTCACCTCCACGTGCTTCTAACATTCGCCGTAGTGAAGCCTTTTCACTAAGTTTATTTCGAAAAACAGTATTAATACGATCAAGTGTTTCAGATGCTTTTTTTGGTATTTCACTAATTTCATTCACTCCTGCAATTGGTAAAGGAGTAGATGTATTCACATCAAAAGGAGATTCTTCCATCTCTACTACGGTACTTGTTGTTGTTCCTCCTGAAATTGGAGTAGAAACATCTATTCCAGTTGATTGTTTAATCGTACTAAAGGCTTCCCTATAAACAGTGGAATTAATAGCTGCTGTTTGTGCAGAAGATAAAGATTCTACAATTGCATCTTTTAAACATTGAAAAGCACGTTGCTGTGCTACTGCTAGTTTTGTAGCATATGCCTTAGATGAGAGAAATTGTGCATTACGAGATAAAAATTGCATTTCTTCTTCCATCTCTTGTAACATACTTGGATAACGAGCAGATGTTGCCGATAATGTTGGTTGTTCAGCCTCATGTGTTAATACTTCAATACGTGAAAAGTGTCTAATCATTCGCTGTAATTCCTCTTGTACCATTTCTAATTTCGTTTTTCGCACCATAAGAGCAGAGGCATTACTACTTAAATGATTACTCTGTTCCTGTACTGCCCCAGTTACATCTCGCATAGATGCTAAACAACTGGAAAGACTATTTAATACATTTAAACACTCTTCTCCCATTTGACGTCCCTCTTGTGTTCGCCGCAACCATTGATGTAATCCCTCCACAGATGTCTCACATTCTGCTCTCGCAATACACTGCAAGGCCTCATCTGTAATCGCCACTTCCCTATCCATTCCATTATTATTATTATTGGTATTGGTATTGCTGCCTGCTAACACCTGCGAGTCGGTCCTTGTCATTCCAAAATCGCCCATGCGTTCATAAAAGGGAATGGCGTGTTGAAAACTGCGGGTTACTGGAGCTAAAGCAACATCCAGTCGATGTGTGAACTCCGCGTCTGAGAGCATTCTATGAAATATGACTAGAAAAAAAAAAAAATAAGAAAAAAAAAAAATAATAACATGTAGAAGAGAAGTATATTCATTTGAGTCCCACATATATATATATATATATATATATATATATATATATATATTTATCTTATTTTTTTTGTAAGTAAAATAATGAAAATAGAATTTTACTCGTACTAAACTTGTTTAATATATATATATATATATTTTGTATTTCGTTGTTCCTCGTATAAGTGAACCCACTCCCTCAGTGGTAAAATAATAATAATAACAACACAACCATCAAACCATATATATATATATATATATATGGAGCGACTTATTCCTTTACAAGCTCTTCAAGCACTTTCATTTCTTCCTTTATCATGAACGCCTCCTCCTCTTCACTCTCTTTGTTCTCCTTCTTCTTCTTCTGCTGCTGCTGCTGCTGTCGTTCTGTCAGACACTGTTGATAGCGTTCAAAGATATCTTGTCGACAAGAGAATGATAATGTGGGGACGGTGTTCTTTGCAGCTGTGCGGTGTGCACGCAGCAGTGCGGCTGGCACTCGCTCTAATAGCAACAACGGCACATCTGCAGAGGATGGGAATTGCAAACACCACGTTAACACACACGCATCGCCTGCTGTTACAAGTCGATACAACTCTGGTAATAACCACAGTCCTGTATGATCTGTTTTTCCCAATTGAGATGCTAATATACGTGTGGCACACTGAATCGTTTCTTCTTGTAATGGTGTCATCGGATGGGAAAGGGCTGCAGCAATGAGAAGACTAACGGCATCATGTACAGAGAGTTGTTTTTCCTGCATAAGAATAACACGTTGTACTTTTTCTGTGAATGAAGGATCTTCACGATGTTGACAGGAAGCCGCTGTGATCGCCATGGCTAATAATATTGTACATCCCTCCGCCGCGGAGAGTTCTGATCCTTTCAGGGTTATTAAATACTCTGCAAAGTAAGAAAGTAATTGTCCCTCCTTTTGTTTTCGTGCGGAACCTGAAACCATCAGACTACCAACACAAAGTGATTCCATTAACACGACAATAGTTGCGGCTGAATAAAGAGATATTTTATTATTATTATTTTCATGTGTATTGATCTTCTCTGTTTCACTTTGCATTCGCCAAAAAATAGAATCCGCTGAATTTAACACCATATCAGAAACTAAACGAACATTCCCAATATGAAGAGAACTTATCCTTGTTAAGAGACGTAAAACAACACTAACACGTCGAGGATTTCGTGCCACTTCTTCTTCCCGCAATTTCTCAGAAATGACTTGTAAATACGGTAAAGCCTCTTCTGTAGAAAATGAAACTCCATAAATCATAGCAAACATACAATGTGAATAATAAAGTTCAGCAACTTTTTCTTCAGGCATTAAACGTAATCTTTCTTTATTAAAGGAAGATTCAGAAATATTTTTCTTCTTTGGGGTAAGGGAAGAGATAATAGCTTCTGCAGATACCCGTTGTCGATCATAACGACGAACTTTACAAACAAAACCAGACAATGAAACTGCCGCTAGAAACTGTTTTCGGTATATATTTGGAGAAACATCACTTGTTAACATCATTCCAGCAGAAACTAATTTCTTTACACTTGCGGCAAAATAAGTATCAAAAACGGGTTCTGGTGGACGATCAAAATATCCCAAAACGCGAACTACAGAGACAAGATCTTCTAAACTATGGGATTCTAATAAAGCACGTACAGAGGCAGAAGTTTCTACCAATGAACTCATACGTTCAATTACTGTTGAGGCAAGTACAACAAGTGGATTCATCATTACTGTATCTCTATCTTGAGAGATTTCAGAATGCCAATCTTGTTGAACACTTTCTTTATAAGAAGGTGTTGAGAAAAATGCATTGGAACGTAAAAATTGTGAAGATTGTAAAGCCTGTAGAATGGTTTGACATTGTTTAAGTGTACATCTTCTTACTTGTTCAGATACATTACGAGCTAATGTATTTAAAACTCGTCCATTCCATACACCAAGGCGTGTAAAGGCATTTAATAAAAGTGAAAGTTCTAATGGTTCCATTTCTGCAGACATATCTCGTACTAAAGGAAGTATTTCATATAAAAGGGCATGATGTCTAACACCTACTTTTTCAAAGCTTTGAACAAGAATTACAATTTCTTGTGGAGATATCTGATGTAATTTATTAATCCTATCATCTAAAGAATGACTTCCTTTCTCTTGTAAACATAAACAAACAGCATCACCTAAATCCATAAAGGTTTTATTGGTACAGAGTAAAAATTCATTTTGAACATTAATATATCCGCCTTCCTCACCTTCTTCCACATCAACATCATTCTCCTCATTATGATGATGATGATGATTCATATTCGTATGTATAATATTATTCTCCTCTCCAAGTACAGTTTCAGATTCCGTAAAATAATCTGCTTGAAGTTCAACTAAAATACTGTACATTTGTCCCAATACATAAGCTAAAAGAGCCATATCACGAAGTGGTAAAGATGTTGAATGATGAGTTGAAACTAAATGAGAAGCATTTTCCATCGACACTCTTGTCAATTTATTTAACGCATCCATTTCACTTTGTTTTAATGAGGCATTTTTTAGACATGGTAATAAACGTCTTAACATCCAAGTGGTCCTATTGGGTGATGATTGTAGTAAAAAGGTAATACGATTAAGAAAAGATGATGGAATAGAAGATATATTTGTTTTTATAATTCCATCTAGAAGAGATTGGATATCATAAAAGGTTAATTCAACATCTTCACTACGATCTAAAAGTGCTTGAATGGCTTTACAAGCAGATGTTCGTCCAATAAGATCTTTTGAGAGAAGATCACCCATACACTTTGCGAGAGCTCCAACCTCGTATGCATTAGCTTGAGAAGCAAGAAGAGAAACTTGCTCACCTGCCGCATCCAGTAAACACGAAGAGGAACTATTATCATCATTAGATGTTTTAAATTTAGTCCCTAATGTTAATGGAGTCGTACTATTTCCTTTCGGATGTAATCCTTCTTCTATTTCTTCTTCTTCTTCTTCCTCTCCTTCTTCTTCTTCTTCCTTTTCGGTTAATTTTCTTCTTGTTTCAGTGGATACAGATTCTCCAGATGTAAATAGATGTAAAACCATTACTAGACTCTTAGGTTCTTTTATTTGTGTAATGCTCTTCATAGCGTTATTTCGCAGTGTTGTGTGAAGTTCTCCTGCCCGTTGTAGTAATTCCTCTTCTTCTCGCGTTATTGTTACGGCTTTTTGTTGAAATGCATCCAAAGCCTGCATAAGAATAGATGTAAGACTCGCTACATTTGTAGGGATTTCTTGTTTAGATTCCATATTCCCCATATTTTCCGTTTGCTTATCTATCTTATCTTTATCATCCACTGTAGACAAACGCCTTACATCTTCTATCAGTTTTGGTTCCAAAGCCGCATATAATGAAACCACCCGTGGACACTGAAGTTGAGAGAAAACAAGAAGAAACTGTGCAGACTCCAATGTAGTTAACGAACCCTCCAATCCCCATACAATCACACGGTCTATTGCCTGATCTAAACAAGGAAGCATTGCTGGTAAAGATGAATTCTCCCAAATAGGAGAAACATTCATCATAGATCGTGATATCGAATCACTCCATCTACAGATTCCCTGAAGAAAAGGAATAAGTTGAGCCGAATGGGCCAACTCCATATGAGAAGTAAAACAACTACAAAGAAGGTTTATTAAATCTTCTGCTACTTTAACATCAAGACGTGAAAGATTCGACATGAGCACAGAACACTCAATATGTCGAAGTGTATTAGAATGAGTTTCAGCAATCATAAAAAGTCTTGGTCGAGCCGCTTCTATAAAACGTCGAATAATAACTTTTTCTGCAACATTTGGTGCTGAATTTCTTAATCGAACTAATAGTTGAAATGCCACACATATATCTTTTGCTGTTGCCGAAGCTAAGGATGGTGGTAGAAGTAAAAGAGCAGCACGAGAAAGTTCCATCATGTGTTGTTTCTCCTCTAACTTGGATGATACCGCAATTAAATGACAAACATCTGCCGGTCGTTTTGTCGTCCCTGCAGTGGAAGGACCAAGTGCTGCATCTATTAATGGACGTATACGTATTAAACCATCTTTTACACTTTTAATGACATTATCCTTATTATTATTATTATTATTATTATTATTATTATTATTATTATTGCTGTCAACACTCTCTAGGCGTTGAAAAGCCTGTAAAATGTGTACACAGTCTGTTACTTCAATTGGAGGTAATGTTTGTTTTGAACACGAGAGAATAGCATTCACAGCAGCCGTTAAGAGATTTGTAATCTTTTCACGCATTGCGGGATCCTCCTGAAGAGACATCATATTATTATTTAATAATGTCTGATCACCTTCTTCTTCTTCTTGTTGTTGTTGTTTTGTCTCTTCACTTTCACTTCCTCCATTTTCCATTAAACGCCCAATAAGACTAAAAACAGAAATCACCGCATTTCGGTGTTGTTTTAACTCCGATTCTGTTGATATCCCTGTAGAGAGTGGTACTTCTAATACCGATAATAAAGGTGAAAAAAGTTCTTCCATAATAAACCTTTTCCCTGTAGTTTTCCCATCCTTTAGATTAAGTAATGGCATACAAATAGACATTACTTGTCGAGTAGAGACTAAATGTTTTTTATTGACTCGCACCCATTGCAAAGCCTCTGCGATACGAGGTGTGGATGTAGAAGCCCCAAAGGCAGCGCCAACACTTAATAATTTTCCAACTTCTACACAGAAAGAAGCGGAGGTGGCATCTACATCCGAGAGATCTTCACTACTACGCATCTCCTTGCGAAGTAATTTCATCGCCTCCACTACGAGTTGTTGTCTTTCTTGAATGAGAGAAGTGGTGTGATCTATTGGGGCGGAGATTATAGGAATAGAGAGATCCCGACGATTCTGTGATGATTGTGGACGTTGATATTGTTGTCGAATACGCAGTAGGGCTGCGAGTACAGATTGTGATCGTGTTGTGGGTCCATGAAAGTAATAAGGAGATGGGCGAAACATTCTCCTGTCTGTTCTATTTACAAAGGAAAGAAAATAATAATAATAATAATAATAATAATAATAATACAGACAGTGAAGAACCTAAAAAAAAAAAAATGCCCTAATTGTAATGTAGTTTAGTTAGAAATAAATGAATGAAAAAAAAAGGAAAAGAAAAGAAAAATTGAATTTATAAAGGTTTAGTGATTTATTTCAACATCATAATCAAAGTAAAATAGATTCACCTGAATTTACAATATATATAAATATGGGTAAAGAAATAAGAACGGGGAATAAATATATTTTTTTTGTTTGTTTAATATATATATATATATATATATATATGCTGCAACACAGGAGACACCACGCAAAATGTCTTTTTTTTTTATTTTTTTTCTTTTACATTTACGTGGGGAGGGGTGAGGTGTAATACTTTAAGCATTTGACTTTTTTTTTATCACCATTTTTACGTTAGTAAAACTAATTATATATATATATATATGAAGCTCTCACTTCTCCTTGACATTCCATTTCAATTCTTTATTGATTTATTTATTTTTCCACTTCTTTAATGCTACACCTTTTCTTTTTTCTTTTTCCTCTTATCTCCCCAATTATTTGAGGGTTTTTTTTTTCCCTTCTTTTCCCCAATAGTGTGAAGAAAAACAACAAAAAAAAAAACCATTCAAATATCCTTTTTTTTCTTCTTTATTTCGTTCCCCTTTTCTTCTCTTTCTTTTCCTTCAGTTCTCGTCCCTTCACTCCCTTCACAGAATAAACACTAGCTTTTCCCCCACCACCCACTCTACACTCTCACAAGTCTGTAAGAGTAGTAAAAGGTGATTGAGATAATAGAATGTAATCCCTTCTTTCTTTCTTTTTTTTTTCTTTTCTCTTTTTTTTTTTGTTTTGTTTTCAACGTTCGCGCAAAACAAAAGAATGATGATGTTTGTATTGATTTACCTATATTCTTTTTTTTTTCTTTCAGTTTCTTTAACCACACCCATCCATCCATCCATCCACTTCTCCCTTTTTCCTGTTTATTTCCTAAAGTTAATTCTACAACGCCCATACATTCATATAAAATATACTTCCACAACAGCCCATTAGACTGCAGCAAAAATAAAATAAAAACATGAATGTATACTGTAATCCTTCTCTTTTTCTTTTCCTTCCTCTTCTTCTTGTTGTGATTCTTGTTTGTTTGTTCTTCTTCGATGGTGTCTTCCCAAATGGCAAAACACACACACACACACACACACACACACATTCACATCTTATGTATATTTATACATCGATACATATATCAATATTGTACACTTCATCTCTCATACGAAAATAACGCAGAAAGTACCATATATATATATATATATATATATATATATATATATATATATATATATACCAACACACTTCTTCTCTTTTTTTTTTCTTTTCTTTTCTTTCTATTCTCTCTTCTCTCCTTTTGTATTCATTTCGATTCTCGTTGTAAATTATCAACACTCTTGTACTTTTAGTTACTTGTACCGTACTTTCCCCCAAGATGTTCGGTGACCAGTGGAACCTCCTCTGAGGGAATATCAGACACACTAGGTTTATGTTTCTTGGGATGTGAACAACGTTTATGGCATTCTTTCATTTTATGAATAAGGAAAATCAGAAGAAAGAAAATGAGAACAAGAACAAGTACACTTGTCCAAATATATGCGGCTGTACAAAGGGCAACGTAACGAAATGTACCATCTTCTCTAAGTTCATAACAAAAAGGAATAGAAGCTTGATGTTCCACCATTGTTGTTAAGATAAACTCTGGTTGATCTGGTAATTTAGAAGTAAAATATCCAAGAAAAGGAGAAGGACCTGCGTTAGCTTCTTTTGTATTTAAATACGGAGAGGCATATGTAGATATCCTACGACCATTACGATCTGCTATTAAAAGCATATCATGAGATGGATTCTCATATATACCACTAGAAGAGTGTTGAGGAACTCGTTTTGTTACTGGATGAGGAACCCAACGACGTTGAGAATTTCTGATACCACCATCTATTTCACCTTGTTCTTGTTGTTCTTGTGGTTGTATTTGTTGTGATTGTTGAGGTGGGGCGACAAATGGTAATAAATACGTCATTCCATCTTCTTTACTCGTTACATATACATGAGGAACTTCAAAATAGGAAGCTGGGGTTTCTACATCTTTTTGAAAACGTGAAGGAAAGAGAACCTGAACAGGTGATGGAACAGGAAGAGAAAAGACATGTTCACCTGTTTGATCTATAAATACATGCACCTGATCTGTGGCCATATCACATACAAGTACATAGTAAGAAAGAAGTTTTCTTTCAGTGGCAAACCAACCCGCAGGTGCGGCCTGTTCCACTAATGCTCTTGGAAGTAATGGGGATAGTGTTAAACCACGAACAGATGCCATAAAATAGGCACTACTCCATGAAGATGCAAATAATCCAGCATTATTCGGTATATTCACTGGTACAGACATAGATGGTAAAGATGATTCATTTGATAATGCAGATTTCATATTTTCAATAGGAATCCATTCTGGATATTTTTTCTTTCCTTTATCCACTCGTATATACCTTGTAACTGTAACAGAATTTTGATTGGCTACAAAGAGAGAGTCATCCTCTGGGTGAAAGGCCATGGAATAGGGGTGATCCAAGAAGGGATTATCTGAACTTTGCTTCGTTACTGTAAAGATATAATTACGTGTACAATTCTCATTTAGTGTACCATTTAATAATCCATTTCCAGAAACAGCAAAGATACGACTGTATTGTCCTCGTGCACTACTGATATAGAGATGATTGTCCGGTCCAAACTTCATATCTCGCAGTTTGTCCACTGCAAATGGAAAAGAGCTCTTGTTGAGTACGGTTCCAATGTAATGACCGACAGTATCAAAGGCCCAAATGTTATTACCCATATTAGAAGTAATATAGATAACATGTGTATTTCCATTGGCTGGACAAAGTGCATATACTCGATCATGTGTTAACAGCAATACAGACAACAACACATGTAGTAGTAGCACAAAAAAGAGTTTCATATATTTTCCCCTAAAAATACACACACACAAGACAGAGAAACACACGTAGACTTTCTTTTTTTATATATAAATAAGTAAATAAATATCTTTATCTCTGTGTATCTTTGCTTTTCCTTCTTTCTTTGTTTACTTCTCTCTTTTTGTCCCTGTCTAAAAACACTGCTAGCAGTATATACTTGGACTCTATTTTTATGCCGCCACCTTTCCAGGTATTGTGGACTCCTACCAAACCTTACTTGGAAGAAACGTATAAAGGGAAGTATATAAAGAAAAAGAAGAAACAATTAAAAAAAAAAATAAACAGTAACATATATAAAAACATATATACATAAATATATATATATATATATATCCATTATAGTAGAAACAACCAAGAAAAGAATTTCTCTGCGTAGCAAATAAAAAACAAAAAAAAAAACCATTTCGCTATCATGAATCACTGTAGCAATATATTAGTCGTCACGGTATAAATATACTCATCCTATCCCTCAATTATTATAACCATTGTTTCTTTTTTTTATTATTATTTGTTTTACTCGCAATCCCATCTTCACTTTATTTCACTTCTTCCACGTTCTTTTTTTTTTTTTTTTTCTCTTATTATTATTAAAACAGAGAGTTTATTCACGTGATTGTAGGACATACTTAATATCAACAAAGGCATCTATACCATATTTAGAACCATCACGACCCAAACCACTTTCTTTAATTCCTCCAAATGGAGCACATGGTGATGATAATCCACTATCATTCACACCAATCATACCAAATTGAAGTTGTTCCGATACATTTAATTGTTTACGGTAATCTTGAGTATAAATATAAGCTGCCAAACCAGCAGGTGTAGAGTTAGCAGCTTCTATCACTTCCGTTGTATCTGTAAATTTCAGAATAGGAATAAGAGGACCAAATATCTCTTCTTGACAACACTTCATACTATCATGATCTACACAAGATAAGATGGTGGGTTCAAAAAAATAACCAGGACCATTTATACGTTTACCACCAATTTCCACCTTTGCCCCTTTTAACACAGCATCCTCCACCATAGTTTCTAATCGCTTAATAGCGTTATTGTTAATAAGTGCACCAATGTTCACAGACTTATCAAAACTATTACCAACACGTAATGTTTTAACTTTTTCAATAAGCATTTTTAAAAACGTATCATATATAGAAGTATGAACAAATATTCGATTACTACTAATACATGCTTGACCTGCACTCCGAAATTTTGCGTTTATAAGTCCATTTAGAGCTTTTTCAAGATCTGCATCTTCAAAAATAATAAAAGGTGCATTACCTCCTAACTCTAAACTTAATTTTTTCATTGTAGATGCGGAACGTTTATATAAATATTTCCCTACTCGTGTAGATCCTGTAAAGCTTATTTTACGTACGTTAAAGCTATCCAATAATGTCTCTCCAATAGGAGGAGCATCTCCAGTAATAATATTAAATACACCTTCAGGAACTCCCGCCTCTGTGGCTAATTGTGCTAAAGCCAAAGCACTAAATGGTGTGAGTTCTGATGGTTTGAGTACAACTGTACATCCAGCCGCGATAGCACCAGCCACTGCACGTGTGATCATCGCCGAGGGAAAATTCCACGGTGTAATAACAGCAACAACCCCAACAGGTTGTCGTAATACCATTGTTAGTACATCCTTGCGAGGACCAGGAATGATATCACCATACACCCGCTCTGCTTCTCCAGCATACCATTCAATAAACCGTTCCGCATAGAGACACTCACCCATTCCTTCAGATACTACTTTACCAGATTCACGAGAGAGAATATTTGCAAGGCTTTCCTTATGGTGTAATATTAAATCTGCCCATTTGTGAAGTATGAAAGCCCGCTCACGGGGCATGACATTTTTCCATTTTTTAAAAGCAGACTCTGCTACATTAATAGCCTCCAGTGTTTGTGAGGATCCACAGTTTGGAATCTCACCAATAATGTTATGAGTACAGGGATCCTCCACCGTTATGACTGGACTGCCAGCTGGAGTGAGAAAAACACCATTAATAAAATTAACTGGTTTATCTACAATACGTTCTGTGATAAACTTTGATGGATTAGAAAAATCAAATACTGTCTTACAAAACCAATAATTCGTTCGTCGCATATTTAGCTTACTTCTTTCCTTTTTTTGTGTTTTTTTTTTCTCTTCCCTTGGGGAATACAAGAGTAAAAAAAAAAAAGAAAAGGGGAAAAAAAAAGAGATTAGTAGCACCAAAGAAAAAAAAAAAAGATACAGAATATTTTTCTTTTTTTTTTTTTTGCAGACACACAAAGTTATTGTTCACATGAGAGAAAACACTATATATCCTGAATGGAATTACACCCTCCCCTAACAGGCGGCACCGGTTCACACCATCTTCCCTAATCAGCAGGTGCGTCTCATTTTCGTGAGCGGAGACTTTTAAAAAAACAAAACTGTGGTCCCAATCCCTTTTTTTTTTTTTTTGTAATGTGTGATGTTTCTTTCATTCTTTTACTTTTTATCTTTTATTTTTTTTTTTTTGAATTCTTCACTTTATTCCCGCTCTAAACTCCTTCCACGCATATCCATAATAATAAATTTCTTAATAATATGGATACTTCTTCTGCAAGGTACAGCAAAAAAAGACAAAAACTGTGGATCGCAAAAATAACTAAGGGGATCCAAAGATAGATTGAAGAATTACTCAAAAACACATAAGCAAAAAATAAAAATAAAAACACAAACACACACACACAGAGAGATAAAAAAAAAAAGATATTTATATATAGACCTATATACAGTGTGCCACATTAGATGGTTTCTTTACTACTTCCACCACCATTACCACACCACCTCACCAAAGGGGGGCATATCATCTCCGTCAACGGATAAAAATATACTACAATTCATACACCTCTTCCTACTTACACTCTTCATATTCCCTCTTGTATTTTTTCTTTCTTTCTTTATTCTATTTGTGTTTTGCTTTTCTTAGCTTTTGTTCACTGTTTCCCCTATCTAGCTATAAACACAAAACTCGTGGTGTGATGTTCTTCTTTTCTTTTTGTTTTTCAAATGCCTCCCTCTCATCCTCACACCACTTACTAGACCCTCCACTATCAGAAAGACCAAAACACCATGCCCTCTTCCTCCTCTTCTTCTTCTCCTATACACACAACTCCCTCGTTCGTTCCTATACTTATTCCACTCTGTCCGGCACATTGCGGTAGAGTGTCTCCATCTGTGGTCCCCAGGCATCCGCCCACTGGTAGCCGGTGCCGAGTTTACGGCGCCACACACGCAGATAGTCCGTCTTGTATGAAGAGAAGTTCGTGTAGAGACTGCCAATGCGGGCAAAGACAAACCACATCACCAGAATATATCCAAACACACACGCCACCGCCTGGACGTCCATAGGGTACTTCATGTGATCATAGTTGGTGTAGCGACGAACAGAACTGGTGGTCTTTGCTAGCGCTCGTGACGCCTCAGGGCCAATCACACGACGAAACATTATTCTCTGTTTTTTTTTTTCTTTTTTCTTTTTCTCTTGTAAGTATTACCCCTTTTTTTTCCCTTTTTTTTCCTACTTTTATATGATTTTGCTAAGAGCAGGTGTTTCTTTTTTTTCTTTTTGAGGGGGGTAAATTAACAACGAAAAAAATTTGGAGATAAAGAAATACGGTGATTATATATTTACAGATGCAGATAAACTCAAAGACACAACAATAAATAAAAAATATATATTCGCTAACGAAATGAGAGAAAAATATTCTTTCCCCCAAGTATAGAGGGGAATATATAAATATATATAAATATATATATATATATATATATAAACGGTATCAAAGCAAACTATATTAAAATACAATATAATAAAAGTTCCAATATGCAAACTATTGTTTATATAGACTACATGAGATTTTTTTTTTTCTTTCTCGGCACACACTCTCTCTCTCTTTCTTTTTTTTTACATTAGATATCCACATAATATTTTTAAGCACTTTTTTTGCCTTCACGTGGCGATATAGAATACATTTTACCAAAACTACCTGCATGATTGTCGGGCATTGATAAAGTCGCTTTTTTACACTTCAATACGGATCGTAAAGACGATGATGTTTTCCCTGTGCCAAACATTAGATGAGAAGCTCTAGCAGCATTTCCTACTTCTTCTTCCTCTGCCTCTCCTTCTTCTTCTTCTTCTCTTATCATTGATTTATTGTATTCTTGATTACGTTTTCTTCTGAGTCTCTTAGCATCAGAACTACCGTAAAGTAACATCACACGACGAGAAACACCTGAAGCTAATTCTGGCAATTTTACCTCATTTTTTTCTTGCACATCCGCATTTGTGGTGATTTTTCCAAGATGTGCATAAACAAAGTCTTTAATGATTGGATCTGTTGGATTAAGTTGTTGACATGATAAAACATCACGTAAAGCATATCGAGGTTCATTCAAGTCAAATCGGCAACAGGCTCGATGATAATAAAAGAGAGGTTCCGTATCAAATGTAGCAATAGCTTTACTAAACTCTCGTTCAGCTTCTAGTAATTTACCTTTCGAATGAAATTTTGAACCCCAAACATCATGTAAAAAACCTATTCGTTGAGTAGCAGGAGGATATTTTGGACAAATACTTTCTACTCGCATAAAGTCTTGTAATGCTCGTTGATAATCTTCCAGTTTTACATAACAATCACCACGAGCAAGAAGAACTGGAATATTATCAGCTTGCCATATAAGAGATGTAGAATAATATTCAATAGCATCTTTAATACTATTGGTTCCATCCACAGTTGAACCAAGATGAAAAAGAGTTTGTGTCATTAACTCTATCGCAGCTTTGTGATGACCATCTGAAACTTTAATACAACGAAATAAATCCGGTACGGCTTTCTTTTCCATTCCTTTATTAATATGATGTTTAGCACGTTCATATAATAATGCGGCATCCTCTGGAAACACTGTAAGGCAACGTGTAAGTCCTTGAAAATCTGATTGGTCTATTGAACGTTGACGAAAGACAGAATAAGAAGAATCAAATATATGTTGAGCTAGTAATACTTGTGGATGTTGACGTTCTTCAATCGGTATTTTATCTAGTAATTCCTTTGCATGTCTAAACGCCTGACGTAGACAATATAAATGAACTAATAAAGAACTAGATTCAATAGAAAACTTCGGATTATCATGAAGGTGTTTTTCTAAACTCTTCTCCGCATCATCCTCACGTTCAAGGGCAATAAGATACGCACAACGGTGTAATTCCACTTGTGGATGTGGACGAAGTTCAAGCGATTCATCTGCAAACCGCAATGCCTGTGCATAGTCCTTCGCATTAAAAAGCACCATACTTAAGGCATCTAAAATACCTGCCAAGCGTGTCTGTATGGCCTCTGTAAGCGCCTGTTCATCCCCACATCTCGCCCCTGCCGCCGTGGTCGTTCGGCCTCGAGAGGAAACTCGTGTGGATAAAAATGGATTCGCAGAGACGGGCCGACTAGACTTCTGAGAGAAACTCGCTTCTTCATAATTAGCTTCATTCACATCCAAGTCAAAACTTTCCACATCATCATCTTTAGATGCAGGATTAAGAGGCATATCAAAACGTAAAGTATCCACGTGAAAACCCTCTTCATTCTGGTCCTTCTCACGTGGACGCAATAACCACAGTGAACGACGATATTGTTTAACAGCTCCTTGAAAATCACAAAGCGAAACATAACACTCGGCAGCTGTAATAAGAGGTTGCGGTTTCTGTGGTACGAAGAAAGACGCCTTTGCGAAGGCGTTAATAGCTTCTCTAAACAGTCCACGTTGCATCAAGAATAGTCCACGTTGATACATTATTTCACCCTTCTCGTAGAAGGAAGCCATAGATTTTTTACCATCCATTGAATTCAACGTTATTACTCCTAATATATGTATATATATAGAGAGAGAGAGATGTTTGTATAGATGTATACACGCTTGTTATACTGTAGCTGCTTCTGTCCTTACAAAGATATGGAGAGATGAAAAGAGAGAAAAGGAGAGAGAGAGAGAGAGAAAAAGGGAGATATTATATGGAATGAAAAAAATTCAAAGAAAATCACGAAAAACAATTTGAAAAAATGAAATCCAAACCGTGTAGAGAGAAAAAAAAAACATAATACGCACATCCCCGAGACATCACAACACCGCTCTCAATTATTAAAAAGAAACTCGTTTTTTTTTTTTTTTTTTAATTCACACCCCTAATTAAACAAAATTAACTTATCAGAAAATAAACTAAGTAAAAATGGACAAATATGTGTACACATGAAAAGAGAGAGATAACACAAAGGAAAGACAAAGAGAGAGAAAGAGAGAACAAAGAAGAGAGTGGTAAAGTTTTATACATTATATATATATATATATATATATATATATATATACTCTGTTCCACCTCTCTTTCTCTCTTTCTCTTCATCTCTCCATCTATCTACCTCTATTCACACGTACGTGACTACGTGTCTCTGGCGAGGCCAGAAATACGTATTCTACAATCTTTTTCTTTCTTTTTTTTTAATTCATACTCAAATGCTGACACTCCAGATGTTCACTTCCTTTAAGAAAAAAAGGCATAGCCTTGCAGTTTAAGTAATCCTCAAGAACGCGAATAAGTTGTTGTTGTTCTGCTTCGTTGCGACATACCAGTTGCACAGAACCATCGCCTTGACTTCCCACGCCTTTTCCACCACAACTTAACGCTTTCACACGTTCATCATTAAGTACGGTATGAAGTCGCGGTGCCTGCAGTTCATCACAGGCTGGAATTAAATGTAAATCGAATAATCGCTGGTACTCTGTAAACACTGCACCAAGTCCCTCTGCATCACCTCTTCGCATAGCCGCAGATGCCTGTTCCACCAAATCCAATGAAATATCACCAAGGAATTCTCTTACAGCACTCTTTACAGAATCATGTTCTGAATTTGGAAAACAACTTCCCAATTCTCGTAAGATTTTTTTCGTATCTTTTTTAGCTCCCAAGTCTGCAACTACGAAATAAAATATAGCCGTAGAAGGGAGTGGAATGGTATCCACCTCAATAGCAGATCCGTGAAAATGTAGATCTATACAACAGTTTGGACCATACGCTACACATTGGTCTAAGCGTCCACACTCGGCTCCTGTGAGAATTTCACCACAGAAAGCCACATCCATTATTTCTTTTATTGACATTCCAATATCAAAAAGGGAATCAAAACAACGGGCAATTGTAACACACACCGCCGCACTGCTAGAAAGACCTTTTCCAATAGGAAGATCTGTTTTATTCTCAATGGTGATCATAGCACGTTTAACGGTACCTTTAAAAGAACCATGAAAGGAGTTAAGAAAATTATTAATTTTTTCCTCATATCGTTCGAGAACCACTGCGATAGTTCCATACACATAAGCAAAAAAACCACCATCCACGGCACATTTTCTCAATAATTTAACCTCTAAAGGTAAAGAGGTATCCAAACGTTCACCACTTGGTCGCACAGAAGACATACAAAAAAACCCAATACCATTATCATCATTATCATCCGCCAGAATTGGAGATTCTTCAGCTCCTGTTAGAATATTGGTTGCTGGGATAGACTCCATAAAGTGCAATTCCGCTTTGCTGTACAATCCATACGGTGTCCCATAAGCCAAACATCGGCCTGGTTTTATTTCTGGGTGATCGGGTGAGGCATGCACTCCTGCCCAGTCACTATGTTCACCAATCAGGCAAACACGACCAGGAACAAAGCAGTTTACTGATTTCACAGCTTTTACACCTATGGTCAACTCTTCCTTTACATTTTCCGTTTTGTTTTGAATTCCCATTTTTTTTTTTTTTTTTTACAAACTGAAGTAGAAAAGGAAAGTGTTCCTAGATTTCCTTGAAAAGAATTAGCTGGCACCAGTATAGCTACCAAAAAAAAAAAAAAGAATAAAGAAAAAGAAAGTGTTCATTCACAATATAAATGATAATTGAAAAAGACATTCAAAATAGAGTAACCAACAGTTTTTTTTTTTTTTTTCATTTTTATCTTTATAGTTTTACTTGTATGCATATCTATATATTTATACGTATCTGTATATTATTATTATTACTGTTTCTATTAATAGTAGTAGTAGTAGTATAATTATTATTATTATGGGAATGTATTCCCACAAAAGAGTAAAAAAAGAAAAAAAAAACACCTTATCGGATTGATATATATATAAATAGAGATATAGTTATAGATAATATATACCTTAGATATACTGATCACTGTGTTAAAACCTTTGAGGTTCTATTATAACCTTTACACTTTTTTTTTCTTTTTTATTTTTCCTCTTTTTCCTCATTACTCGTTTAGACTTGTAAACCGTTTCACTGTTTCTGCGTTTTTTTATGCAACCTATCTGTCTGTAGAGAAGTCAAGTCAATAGTAATATACATTACACGAAACCTTCTTGAATCTATTTTTTTAGTTTTTTCTTATTAGGTGAAGGAGGGCTACTACGCTTAGCATTCTTGTTCACTATTTTCTTTTTCTTTGCTGCAGGTTCATGCTTTGATACTTTCTCATTACTCTCTGACCGTTGTTTCTTCTTTCTTGGAGTCAACACTTGCTCCTTTTCATCATGGTCCTTTTCTTCTCTTCCACGTTTGGCTCTAGATGGACTTATTTTAGTATCTTTATTCTCACGATGGACTGCCACAGATGATCCAGATGTAGTTTGTTGCTTTGATCGAGATACTTCTTCTTGATGTTTCTTCTTTTTCATATTATTATTATTATTCTTTGTAGTTGTTGTTGTTTGTACCGCCCGTGTGGGAGAAGAAGAAGTAACCTCTGAGGAATCTCTCTTACTTCGCAGAAGTTCAGGTTTATACTTGGCATCCTTCTTCATTTCATAATGATAGCAACGTACGGCATTATCTTTAATAGGTTTCCCATATGAAGTATCCTTAGCCATACCAGGATCTGGACATTCCAGTTTAGCATGCCGTGGCCATTCCATCTCATAATAACCAACACTTCCTGCAATAGGCATATGCATAGATATAGTTCGTGGAATGGGATGCAGTGTTGTTGTGTTTTTTCCTTTTCCTTCTTTTTCTTTTCCTAAAAGTTGTTCTAATGATCGACTCAGTATACTGGATTCATGTGTGAGTAGTAATGTAACACCATGATCTGGTTCCAACTCCACAATCTTCTGACATGCCAATTGAAGTTGAACACTATCAATAAATGGTAATCGTAATACACCTTGATAAGAGAAATAAGCCTCACTAAAGTCTACATCTACTTTATCTGGATAAAATGCACCCAGCACAGATGCGGGATCTTTTACCGCTTCATGTAATTCCTCTGGTAATGCATGTACACTTAATCGCGGCAATACGGCTAAGAGTTGTACCACTGGATGTCGTGGAGTTCCTAATGACATCTCTACATTCACCACATCTGTAAACTGCGCAAGATCCTGCAAAAGGGGAGCGTAGTGAAATGGATAGTACCAATCCCATGAAGGACACCCGGTAGTATAATAACGCATCACCCATTGAGTTCCACGTAAATATTCTGCACAACAAAGTTTAATATTTTCTTCAAATTCTTCACGATTTTCTGGATTCCAACCAAATTTATTTTCATAATAACCATCACGATGATTATCATCTACATAAGAAAATCCTAAAGGTTGTTTATCAGCAACAAGACGTGTTCTTTCTTTTAAAATAGATAATAATATTTTATGCGCAGCATCACTTATTTCCTGCACATCACTACACTTGGAATCAAAAGATTTATATATACCATTAAGTTCTTCTTCACTTCGTTTTATACGTTCTTCAACATTTACTTTGGCTCGTTCTTTGGCTCTTAATACACCTCCATATTCTCGTTTAAGTGTCACCATAAAATTTTGTACAAAACTTCGTAAAAATTTTGATAATGTATTGTAATTAACTTCACCTTTATTAGTAAGGTAGGAATGAGTTTCAAAACTCCGCACATAATGATCCAATAATAATTCAATTCCTTTTGTTTTAATAGAAATAAGAGGTACATGTGGGAGGAAATCATTTCCCACAAAAAAACATAAAAAAACAAAGTCATCCAATACTCTTTCAAAATTCATTTTACCAATACTACTAAAATCTTCCTTTAAACGTTGACGGTATTTATATAAACTAAAGTAGCAAAAACGATTGTGATCAGGTTGATATGTATCTGTAAGTTGATTGCGTAAAATAGTTACATGTTCTTCATGTGTGGATAAACCTAAACAAATAAGATCAGCATCCATTCCATGAATTACATGAGATGTATGAGGATCATAACCAGGTTGTGAACGTAATCCTCTAATATATTGCATAATTTTATGTTCTCCTTCTCCTGGTACATGAGCATCTGAAAATATTACAGTAATATGTCGCCAATCTGGATCTTCATTCAGTTTTTTCATTACAAACCACTCAATGGCAAGTCCAACCCGTTCCATAAAGGCTGTAGAAGGTGTAATTACATTATGATCCCATCGATCTCTTGTATTAGGACGAGGAAGACCTTTTTTCATTACGGCTTCTGCACACTCTTGAGAGAGAGCATCACTTTCTAAACGTTCCTCTGCAGCTCGAAAACGTCGACTACGCTGCTGGTTCATCTTACTCTGTGGAGCCACACCATCAACGCAGAGAACAAGACATTTACGTGGACGTACCACTTTGTAAAGAAGATCCATCTGTGCAAATATGCGTTCAAACATTTCTTCCTCTGATTCTGGTTCCGGTAATGGATTTGTATCATGACAACAAGGATGAATAAGGCCATTCATATCAAGATACAAATTATCATATCGCCTCATAGCACTTTCTTCTTTTTCTGAAAGCATATGACCCTTTAAGGCGGCATCCACAATGGACTCGGGAACATCTTGTATGCAGTCACCATACCATCGCTGCAACCACAAGTAAAAACCAGCAATTCCCATTCCTTCTAAATAATAAAAAAAAAAAAAAACCCTATCACCACAGAGAGAAAAAAAGAAAAAAAGAGAAAAGAAAAAAAAAAAACTACACAAATGACAATGATGATAATGATAATGATGAATGCCATTATATGTATATGTACCAATAGAATATAAGAAAAATAATAAAAAACGCAGATATTGTTATGAATAACTAAAAAAAAAAAAAAAACATACAGGATACAAGAAACTACAAAAAAAAAAGCCATAAAAAAAAATAAGAGAAAATACTGAAATTTTTTTCTGTTATTTCTTTTTTTTTTTAACGATAAAGTACAGACTACAATACAATATATAGAGGCGTTTAGTCTTGCCATGGAGGCCGAATAGATGTCGCTGCACGAACAGGAGACTGCTGTATTGAAGAAAACTGTTTAGAAGAAGCATCTCGGTGTCTAGCAGAGAGAAAAGAAGTCCCTTCCCTTCCACTTGCACCCCACTCTATCTTCTTCCTATTGACACTCCCACTGCGGTGTTGTCCACCACCTCCAAGTGCTACTTCTGATAAGTGTATAAGGTCTAATCCTGTTTTTACAGGATCTTTAATATACGCTTTTACTTGACGATGAATACAATCTTGTGCCTTTGTAATAATAAGAGAAATAGATTGTTCTTGAGCAGAAATAGCAGCCTTATGTTTTTTGGTGAGTATATTAAAATCTTGTCGACGTTGAGAGAGCAGTTCCTCCCTATTCACTGTGAGTCGCTGTTCTACTGCCATTCGTTCTACACGTAATCGTTCCGCAACCGCATGAAGACGCTCACGCAGTTTCCTTTCCAAATACTTTTCAAAATTTTCTTGTTCTTCTCTTTTTCGACGATTAATTTCTCTTGTTACGTGATCAGCGTCCATGTACATTTTTTGCTGCACATACACCTTTAACTTATCTTGAAGATCTACTAAAGCCTTTGAAGGTCTTGGACGCTTCTCCATAAGTTCTAATCGAATAACATCTTCCTCTGATTGCATTTCCATTGTTTGTTGTCGATGAAGTCCACGTCTTAAAAGTTCTGCTCCCTCATCATATTCTTTCATTTTATTCTCCCACATAGCATGAAAAGTAAGAAGTTCAAGTTGTTGTTCCTCCATCATCTTTTTCTTCCATCCCACATTTACTTTTCGAGCTTCAATTTCAATTTTCTTGGCATAACGAAGATTAATTTCACGAATTCGATCAATACATTCTTGTGCTTTTCGAAACTTTCCAGCACGTTCACACTCTTGTCGTAGTAAATCAAGTTGAACTAAATAGTGTCGTACCTCATCATCTTCCTGACGACGCCTCATCACTTCTGATTCCATCAACCAAGAATTATTCATAGAGGTTGGAATCGTTTCATCCGGATGTGTTGGACCAATACTAGTCAATCCAACATAGGGAACAGGAGAAAGTGCTATACTTCCTTCTTCGCCATGTGGGTATTTTCCTTTATTCTCACTACTCTCTGGACTTCCTGTGTTGCCAATATCTGGCTCTCTGCTTCTGCGCATACCCTATCTATCACCTCTGCCCTTATAGAACTGTGGTTTCAACCTCCTGTACAAGTAGAAAAAAAGAGAAGAAAAAAAATAATAATATCATATTTACATTCACGAATAAATAAATAAATAAAGTGGGGATAGATAGAGGGAAAGAGATAGATGTAAATATCTATAATTTTTTCCTCTTTCCCCAATCCCCACCCCCCTTTCAAACCTTACTCTCAAAAGAAGGGTCCATTTTTTTTTTTTTTTTCAAAAAATTTTTTTACAGTAAGTAGATTCAAGAGTACATGAGACACTCCACTCTTTGTCATTTCTCTCCCTCTCCCTCACGGAGAAGGAAAGAGGATAACAAAAAAATGGAAAATCACTACAACACATATACACCATTGCGAAAAGTTCCTTCAAAACTGGTACCGTCTGGATAACTCAGTCGTCCGTTGCCGTGAGGTTTTCCGCCGCATATATCACCTTCGTACACGCTACCATCCACAAAATGAAGACGACCTCGTACATCAATGCGTGTACCTTCGCGCCATTCACCTTCAAGTACTTCTCCGCGTGAGTCTGTATGAATACCATGACCATGGGGTTTGTCATTATTCCATTCACCTGAGTATTTAGAGCCATCAACGTAGTGTTGTGTACCTTTACCGTGACGTAGCCCATCACGCCACTCCCCTTCATACACATCACCATTGGAATACTTGTAAACCACATCCCCATCCTGCCGTTTACCACGATACCAGACATGTTGAATAACATCTCCATTTGTAAGGGATGTTACACCCACACCATGACGCTCGCCGTCTACCCATGGTCCCTCATATGCATCTTTGCTGGATCGAGCACGTCCCATACTTTGAAGACGACCAAGAAGAAAGACGCCCTCTTGAATAGTGCCGGTTTTAGCATCATATCCAATGCCGGTACCCACGCGGCCGTCGTCTCGCCACTCCCCGCGGTAAAGAGAGCCCCGGCGGCCCACGTGAAGACCCGTCCCGCAGCGGAGATCATCGCGGAATTCGCCCTGGTAGACGCCCTCCGCGTCCTCGAGGCGGCCGATCCCGTGGCGGCGGTCGGCGACCCACTCGCCCTCGTAGCAGCGGCCCCCCTCGGCGTGCGTGAGGGTCCCAAAGCCGTCCTTCTTGTCGGCCGCCCAGTGGCCCACGTAGACATCCCCGTTGGGGTACACACACCGACCCTCCCCCTCCCGCACACACAACGTGTCATTCCAGCCACCAACATACACCTCACCGTTTTTAAAGGTAAATGTACCACCCTTTCGCACATCATCCTCCCAATCCGCAACACATTCTACCCCATTGGCAAATATTAACACTCCTTTTCCGGTACGTTTATCCATATTCCATGTTCCTTTAAAAACATTTCCAACAGCATCTGTATACACACCTTCTCCATGACGAAGGTCATAACACCATTGACCTACATAACGGGATTTATCAGGATAATTTGCAGTAACTTCAGAATCTAGTACATCATTTTTCCATTTTCCACGAATAACAATACCATTTGTATAGCTAAAAATACCCATACCACTTCGTACATCATTTTCCCAATCACCTTGGTATTGTGTTTCATCTGGATATAAAGCATTACCTTTGCCATGTTTTTTATCATTTAGCCAATCTCCTTCGTAGCGAAAACCATCACGAACTTGCATAACACCAAAACCTTCTCGAACTCCTCCTTTCCACATTCCAATATATGCTTTATCATTCCATTGATAAACTCCAGTACCTTCTTTCTTTCCATTTACCCAATCTCCATCATATACTTCCATTGTTGGAGAAGGTAAAGGAAGAATAAACCATCCTGTTTCTTCTTTAGCAACATCTACTATAGCACCATCTAATAGATTTGTAAAGTCCATTTGCCAAGATAATGCCTCACTTTGACGTCGTAGACTACGTCCACTCCAACTTAAATCACCATCTTCTAAAGCATCTGGTGGTACACCATATATACAGCGTCCACGACCATGATAAGAAAATCCTGACCACATACCGTGATATAAGGCACGATTAGCAAGAGAATACCATTCTGCTTCATATTGTTCTTGTAATGTTAATTTAAGACGAATAAAAGTATTCCCACTTGGTTCCACATAGCGTACAGCGAGATATAATAATCCTAGTTTATAAGATGGATCAGCTGGAAGTACAGTTACTGTTTTATTTTGATCAGGTGAAAGATTCTTCCATACTGCGGTATGTTTACTAGGTCTAGGATCAGTAGGACTAAGCAATAACACACAACGTGAAGCACTGTTAAATTCTTGAAATTCTATTGTTACTTTACATGGCGAATCCAGTGCAATGGAAAAGAAAAGGGCGGGGTCTGTAGCTCCTATACGAACGTCACTTAATTCCGTATCAGGAATAAGAGGAATGGGAATTTTATCCTCTGTGATGGTTCGCATGACTTCCTTTAATAGTAATAGTATATATGTGTGTTTAAAAATACAATTATACACAGAATAAATATAAAAAAATAAAACAAAGAGAAAGAAAGAGATAGAGAAATCAAAATATAAACCAAAATAGAACAGAAAAAAAAAAACCACACGTAGAAATGAACACATATATTTACGTATATATATACACACAGACGCACATATAGCGACAAGAATAGCAACTCAAAGTAAACGAAACGAAATTTGGACATATATTCACAATAGCAAGTACTTAAAAACAGTTTTAAGCAAACAATTCCAGAGAAAAACAGAGAATAGTATCCATTTCACCGGATAAAAAAAAGGAGTAAGAGGTGAAAAAGTGGGGAATAACAGATATAAACTAGAACGTAAGATCAATAATTAACCTTAATCTAACCACTCGTTTTTTTACTCGTGATGCCGTTGTCGTTATTTTCTTTACACTTTTTCTTTAAAATCTCTATTGCGGCACCCAAACGAGCAACAAGACAAGGAAACAAAGAAAAACAAAAAAAAAATGCCTTTCCGCACTTAAGAGTCAAAGAAAAAGAGAAATATCTAAGGAGAACAAACGGGACCCAACACAATGAAAGCAAAGTAAGGCGGTAATAATAATAGTAATAATAATATGAAGACACATAAATTCACCCACTAGAATATATCGATTGAAATTGGAAGGGGGAAGGGGGGAGGGGAGATTTTTTGATTTATCAACTTTACAGGAAACACACGTAGGCACATGTATGTTTTTTTCTTCTCTGTAAAACAAATAACTAAATTTAAAAAAAAAAAAAACACTCTCTGACTTGGGGGGAGAACGCAAATATTTATAAGCAAAAACAGTGTTAGACGCAATCCACATCAACACCTCTACATGACCCTACAATTAGGGCAGCGTTGATGTTTAACTCCGACTTTCACGGTACGTTCAGTGGACTGAGAACCAAGATCATATGAAGTCCTTCGCTCTCTCGCATCTGGTGGGTCTTCACACATCTCTGCAGCAACCCATGCTGACTGATAACGTGTTGAACCATCATAGTTCGACCTTCTTATCTGATATTGTTGTCTTTGGTTTTCATTTTCTATTTCGTCCACCGGTTGACATCTTGCTTCTCTATCCTCCCATGCGTTCTCCCTTTCACTATATGATTCTTTTTCCGATGGTGTCTTGTGTGATCCATTCATGATTACCAAAGGTGTACTACCACATTGGTCTACAATCTCTTTCCTACCAATAGACTCACGATCATGAATCGTACAATAACTACTTTCAGACAATACGCCTCCATCCATTTCTTTTTCCATTTTTGACATTAAACTTTTATTCTGGATATAAGAGACATCATCAAACCCTGTAGTCACTAAACTTTCCCTGTCAATATCATCATCACTACTACTTTGTAGATATGGCAGAATATTAGGGGGTGGAAACGACAAATTAGCCGCTTCCATATGTGGGTATAGTACATCTGATGTAGGTAAACGTGAGTGGGCGCGAAAGTATTGTACCATGCGAATCATTGCTTGTATTGCACGAGTAACCTCAAATGGACTTAGATTTGTAATCTCTACTACTGGATGAGTTGTGGAAATGCCGACCGGTAATTCATTGTGAAACTTCTTTATATTATATTTTCGCTTACTCTGTCGTTCTTGACGTACGTTAAGTAACGAAAGACAATTAGAAGCTACCCGTTCCGCCTCTGAGAGGGTTACATGACGTTGTTGTACATTATCGGTGCATGTGCCTATTAAAAGAATGGGTATACTTTTTCGCAGCCCAGACTGCTTCCGTACATGTAGAACTTCCTCCGCATAGTTTATCAAACACTGAAGAGAATTCCTGTCCGTGGTGGAAAATACAAAAACAATCCCATCAGCCTCCGCAAGATAAGAGGCACGATGTACTCTAAAGTCACTACTACCAGAACTATCACAGAGATGTAATTTATAGCTACAACCATCCACATCATGGCAGTGTATCATTGTCTCTAGCGTGGTAGGCACATAACTTGCCTGGAAGACCCCCGTTGTGAATTGTCGCAGCATTGTTGTTTTGCCAACACCTTCAGCGCCAACAAAAACTAAATTACACGGCGTTGACTGCAATGTGGAACGGGGAAGCATATCACTACGCTGCGGAGACTTCATTTCAATCCAAACCAAATTTCAATGTAAATGGGATGGAAATGTAAATAATGCGTCCTCCACCCGAGTTTAACCTTTTTTTTCTTTCTTTTTTTTTTTCCACCGGCAGAGAAGCCGGTCTGAGAAATAAAAGGTTTGTGCAATTGGAGGTGGGTAAAATAACTAAAAAAGGAGAAGAATCCAAAAAAAAAAGAAATAAAAAATAAATAAAGTGAGAAAAATAGAAAGAGAAAGAGGACAGTAGAAAAAAAAAAAAAACAAAAAAACGAAGAAATAATAAATAAATAAAAAATGAGAAAACACTCTTGATGAAATGACAGTGTTTATTATAATACAGAATAGATTTAACTCCATCAAAATTTCTTTTTTTCTCTTTGCGTCACTTTCTGATGTTCTTCTTGTTTTTTTTTTTCTTTTTCTTTCTTTCTTTCTTTTTTTCCCCTCTTCTTCTTCTTCTTTCAATCGGATTTCTTTTAATCATGCATCATGGCACTCGCCTTAAACCGACCCAAGCTGAGATTCTTCCTTTTTCTCTTT